GATAATTAAATGGAAAAAATAAAAATATCGGTTCGCTTTATATAAATTTGTTTTCTTCTCCTCTATGTTTAGCATATATTATAACACCAACGTAAGTTAGCAGGAGTTATTGTGTTTTTTTTCCTTTTTCCGAGATTATTAAAAAAAACAAGGCCAACAAAGATTGACCATTTCGAAGATAATAAAAGAGAGAATTATCTATATTTATTGATAATAATATATCTATTTAAGTTTAAGAACATTATTTATTTGTTTTATGAGGCAAGTGTTGAGAAGTATAATCAATAAAATATTCTCTCTTATTGTTTTCATGGAATAAAAACAAAATTAAAATCTTTAAAATCACAATTTTACTATTTGCTTTAGAATAACTAAATAGGGTTTGCTAGCATGGTTGACAAAGGTAGACAAGGGTAGCTGAGGATAGGTGCCGGGTTGAAAATATGCAAGTTGGATTGGAATTAATGGTCCTTTATCTTATCTCTTAGTGTTTCAAATGTACTTTTGTCTCCCCCATTATAATTCACCAGCAGTAGACTTATATATGGTGTTATGTTTCGCTGTAATAATTAGTCTTTCTATAGCAGTCATCCCATGAGATAATTAAAAGATATTTTTACCTATAATTTATTTATTTTTTAAAACGGGCCAATGAATTAATTATTATAATACTATTTATTCCATGAACACAATAAGATAGAATATTTTACTGATGATACTACTCAACACTTGCCTCATAAAACAAATAAATAATGTTTTTAAACTTAAATTGATATATTATTATCTGTAAATACAGATAATTCTCATTAATTCCACTCCAACTTGCATATTTTCAACCCGGCACCTATCCTCAGCTACCTCAGCACGTCATTCTAGTTTCTTTTTGTCAACCATGCTAGCAAAACCTATTTAGTTATTCTAAAGCAAAAAAAAATAAAAAAAATTGTGATTTTAAAGCTTTTTTTTTTAATTTTTAAAAAATAAACATGTATTGTGATTTTAAAGCTTTTATTTTTTTTAATTTTTAAAAAATAAACATGTTTGATTTCCATTTATTCTTGATTTAATTTTTGGAGAGGTTAAAAGTAGAAATCAAAAGGCATGGACTTTGTTTGCTTAAGGTTTGATTTATAAATATGTAAACTTGTTAATAATAAGATGCAGTTTAATTGATGAGATTTTAAATTTATTTTTTAAAAATTATTAATTTAAATTTTATAAATTTTAAAGTTACTGAATTTAAATGAGTTTTAGAATTATTAAAAATTTATATAATTATTAATCGTGGAATTAGATGTAATTTCAGGGGGTTCGTGGAATTAGACATAAGCCGACTGAAATACTGTAACAATAATAAATAAATAAAAAGTGATCTTGTTTCTTTACCTTTCAACCCTCTTCCCCGCTAAAACCAACAGTTCCTTCTCCTTTTATCACAGCCCAGTCCCCATCCTCTCCTATGGCCGACACCCCATAACCACCTACCACATCACAGTCCCATATCCACAGCCATTAGCCACTGAGTCACCAGCAACAACCAAAACCATAATTCTCGTCTCCCTCACTTTACCAACTGAATCGAACACACCACAAGCCCATAAACTCCACCCCACTTTCCTCACTAAAATCACAGCAGCCCACCACTCATCAACCAAATCCAAGAATAAACCAGCAGCCACCACCAATGTCAACCTCTTCCACCCGAATCAACCCACCAAAACATCCAGCACCAGCCTAATCTCACAGCCACTGCCCCAGTTGACGCCGTCACGACGCTGCCTCTTCCTCCAGCAGGTGCAGGAAGCGCCACCCAAAACTACCATAAAACCCATTACAGCCACAGTAAAGTCGTCATCTGCCCACCAACTCCACTGTCAACACCAGCGGTTCCATTTCCCCTCTTCTCTAACAGCCGTCAGACCAAACACGACCTGATCTTAGCGTCGCTGTCATCTCCAACATCCAACACCACAAATCCTCCACACCCAAACCAGCAAATCATCCTCCACCACAGTTACCCCAAACCTCGTCAAAATCGCAGTCTTCCACACCATTCAGATCCTGAAATTAGCAACTTCCATTTCTCCAAATCATCACGCCAGCAACATAGCCTCATTGGAGTGCCCTCTCGCCATGCCAGGATTATGAAGTTCACCCACAAGTTATGACCAAGTTTGGACAATCTCTAAGAGCTTGAGGGAGAAAGATAAACATCTGCTAGAGCTGTTTGTCTCTGTTTTTTTTTGGATTTATAAAAGGTACGTGAGAAGCGCGCGCCATCCAAGTCAGAATCCAAGTGCCGTGCGTGTTACACGCGTCAACAGTGTTTCCAGTCTCTATTTCCAGCAATTTTCTGATCTTCTCCATCAGGTCAATTTTGTTCTCAGTTTGTTTTTTTTTTCCTCGTTCATTTGTTTTATTGTAATCTTTGTAATAATGGATAATTATAAAAAATATGAAGGAGCATGTGGGGTTTAAATTCGTGCTTGATGCGTGAATACCCCCGGGGATTTATAATTGCTGGGGATTTTTATGCGCTTGGAGTGATAAGAAAAATTCAATCCCCTTGTTGGGCTCGGAACGGAAGGATTTCAAATTTTCAATGTTCTTTAATTTTCTTTGATTTTCCTATGCATTTTTATTTTGATTTGATTCTGTGTGTTTTGTTTTCTGATGTTTTCCTTTAAAAAAAATGGTTTCCGGATTTCCTTTTTCAAATAAATTACGGTAGGAATTTTTGTTTTTTCGAGATGTTTTAAAATAAAAAATAAATATAAAATAGCAATTATTTTTCATGGAATTATATTGGTAAGTTAAGGCTCTTTCAGAATAATGCTTTACTTTACCTTTCCCATTATAATTATTATAAGGAAATTTAAATTGCATAGGGATTTTACCGTTGCTATAGATAGATTATTTAGGATTGTTACAGTAAAATTTATACATGTATGTTGTGTGATTGAGAAGATCTAGACGTTTTAATATTTTTATGCTGTAATTTTTTAATAAAAAATCTGCTGACATGATTTTCACATGTTGTAATGAATGGTCACGCTCATCCTTTAAAAAAACACATCTTATTAAAAGGACATGTGAAATGTTATTTATAGTAAAATCTGAACATTCATTATATAACTAGATACGTAAACATATTTCTTTTACATGGTATGATTTATGTATGCATCTTATAATTAGATTGTTATTGATAATTAATTATTTGTGTTTTTTTTAACAATTAATATATATATAATTATTATTATGTATTTATTTATTATTTGCTTGGGTATTCAAGTTCTTTGAGTCTGATAATAATATCACGTTCAAGAGTTTCGAGTCCGCCAACCATATTTGATGTTATGCAACTTCCAGACGTGGTCTAGCATTCACGTATAACTACCAGATCCAAAAAAATTGAGTTTGTTATGTTTACTCAACCCAAAATGCTTAGGTTTAGTGTGGTTATTAGATTTAATTTGTTTGAGTTTGGTATATTTATCAAACACAATATATTTAAAATATTTTCTATACATTTAATATTTTTTATATTTAAATATTTTTTGATAATGACTCGCTATAAAGTGTTGACCAATATACTAGTTGTATAATAAATTTAAATAAAGTTATTTTAGAGATGAATATGTTATCTTAAAATAATTTTTTTTATTTTTTTATTTATTCTTTATTATGAATAGACTTTTTTGTGTTTAAATTGTTTATTTGTGCCTTTTTTTTTCTTTTTCATACTATATTATGAGTTAATTTGAGATGAATGAGTGTAATTTCAAAAAAAAAATTTATTAAAAGTGAGTGACACCTAAAAGTCTAATTTGAATCAGATAAAAAAATAGGCTTAAAAGCCTAATTTAATGTTCACTATCATATTAGGTTTAATGCTCATGTTTTTTAAAGTGAGGATGAAGTTTTTAGATTAGACCTTATCCTAAATCATTTATATTAAGTTTAGATAAATAATTAAAAAAGCCTTGTAGTTACATCATCACCAGTTTATAATTAATAAACAACTTATTCAAGTTAAAATATTTTAGGATGATCAACTCATTATTTAAGAATTTTTGACTCAATTAGAGTTTTTGATTGTTATAAATTACATGACCATCTTTTTATCTAGTCTTTAATTTTACCATGATGTCTGATGGAAACACTAATTTAAGCTTTTTTAGTAAAAATAAAAATAAAAATAAAAATTACAAATAAAAATAAAATTACTATAAACTATTTTTAATTACGTATTATATAGTAACGACTATCCCTCTCTAAAAAGCAATCGTAATTATGTAGATCATGTAACATTATGTATGGATCGATGTATTTGTTTTTAAAATTACTAATATTACCCCCTCCAAGAACTGACAAAAGACTCGTATCGTTAAGTCATCATTCAACCTGTGGATTATTGACTGAGTCTCCATCAATCGTTATTTATTTATCTATTAAAATAGTATCATATCGAGTTAATCGGATTAGAAGTCAATCCTGCCTATAATTAGGTTCCAGGCTATGAATTTTCTTAATCAAGTTTTTGATCTGAACCTATCAGAATTTAACAACTGTTTTTTATTGGACCGATAATGGGTTTCATCCAATGAAAATTTGCTTCATGGTTGACTTTAAATTTTGGATTAGTTATTCATTGTTTAAAATTAAAAGAGATGTTTTTTTTCACTCATTAGAATGAGGTTAATAGAGTCTATTTTTGTATAGCACTCTGATAGTGTCATGTGGCAATTTGATATTATGATGATTTTTATTTTTTAAAATGTTTTTATTTTAAAAATATTAAATTGATATTTTTAAGTGATTTTTAATGGTTTTGTTAAAAATAAAAATAAAAATAAAAATAAATTTTTTTTTAATATATTTTTAATTAAAAAATACTCTTACAAATTACTCTATATGACAATACCAGACTCAGAATCGTTGAATTGCTGTTACTCTATATGAAAATACCAGACTCAGAATCGTTGAATTGCTGGCATAAAGCCGAACTAAGGACTTGGCAACAAAGTCAGGAAAACATTATTGAACACATATTCATATTTTCTTTTCGGCCTAGGAGGATCTTTATCTACAACTATATGTGGCTCGATCGCATCAAAGCCACTTGGGAACTCTACCGCAACATTTTCCCAGTAAATGTTTTTGATATGTGAAGGTTTTTGCACGACTCTACAAAGTATGGCTCTCATCTATTTGCATAATTAGGTCGCTTTGGCTGGAGTGCTGTTGACATGCTTCGCAGCCTATTTGTTATCTCTGTAAACGATGGTCTGGCTTCTGGATCAGAGGCCCAGCATTCTTCCATCAACTTTCTCCATCCTGTATCGCAGTGTTCTGGTACAGGAGGCCTCAGCGTGCTGCTTACAATTCCACCTTCATTCAGAAATTCCACAATGTGTAAGATCTTTTATCTTTTCAATTTCCTTTCCTCTGTTTTCTCTTACTTGTATTTATCCCTGTTGTGTTGTAATTATTGATAGCTTACGCGTTATAGAGTTTCTGGGTTAAGGGAGGGGAAAAACCTGACCTATTATAGCGCCGAATTGCATGTTGGCATATTGCTCTTCACCAGTCAGGATCTCCCACATTGCGATGCCAAACGAGAAAACATCAACCTGTAAAGGAAGATTTCTCAAACGCTGATGGAAAATGTGGTTCAAAAACTATATTAAGAAGTTACAGTTTTCATTCTTGATATACTCGAAACTCCATTATACAAGTACTGTGCTAACCTTCTCAGAGACTCGGTTGCTGGTGCCATCCAATAACTCTGGCGCCATCCATGGAAGGGTTCCACGCACACCACCAGATACGAGTGTGTTCCTTTTAATTTTTGACAATCCGAAATCTCCAACCTGGAGAACAGGTGAATTACATGTATGAATGAGACTAATGTAGAGTGAATAAAGCTGAAAGAAACTCTTTTGGAAATTGAAAAGCATGTTTTGATATAGAATCAAAACTAATAGAAGACAATAGAATAAAGGAAGGAGTAACGAGTGAGGGGTTTCTGCAAACATTACCTTGCATATGGGGCGTTGGGGATCCCTTAAATTGACAAGCAAATTGTCGCACTTCAAATCAAAATGAATGATATCTCTCAAATGCAGATATTCCATGCCAAAAGCAGCATCGAGAGCGACCATAAGCTTTTTTCGACGATCAAGTGATCTGTGCAACGAAGAAAGATTCTAGCATATATCATGATAAATGGTACAAGCAAGCAAAGGATTCGCAGGCCACCAACTCACCTATCCTTCTTTTGTAAGACACGCCTCAATGATCCATTTACCATATATTCAGTCACAGTTGCCATTGTTCCTCCAGGGCCGTCAGGGACCACGCCATAAAATGCTAACACATTTGGATGATGAAGATCTGATAGGATGCGTGCCTCTCTCCAGAAGTCTCTACTCTGCATAAACAGGGAGGGTTAATTAGATTTTCAATCAGAAATATTCTAAGGCTTGTCTAAGAAGAAATCCAGTTGCTAAGATTTCTAATTCAACAAAAGGTTAAGAGTTGTTTGGTCCTGATTTTTTCACTCATTATTTTATGAAATCTTAGACTGCTAAATGAATTTTTCTACCATGAACAGCCCACCATTATCAAGTGAAAGAAATTATGATGGAAAGGAATTATTTGTTCTAAAATTGATGATTACAAGGACTAACCAATCGCTCTTGCTCTGATGAGTTGCCTGAAAAACAACTCCTTTTGATCCTTTTAATAGCAACATCAGTACCTCTCCATTTCCCATAATAAACAGTTCCAAATGTGCCAGATCCTAATTCCTGCTCTTCTTCAATATCTGCATTCCTTATGATCTGCAAATCAAGAGTGTGAAGCTTTTAGTTAATTTAATTTATCCCTTTTGAAATGGAAAAAAATGCCATAACTATGTAACATCTAAATGATGGTAGAGAGTTGAAGTCATGAGCACATTTTAATAAAAAAAGTAATGAGATTCAGGTCACATTTGAACTAGTAGGGGCTTCCAAGTTCATACTTCTTTTTCACTGAAATGAAGGTTTGTGTGAAAACAGTTGGAACTGGCATCGGGGACCAAAAGCATTCCCCTACAATTAGCTAAATGAAACCTTTGACAGATTTGGCTTGCAGAACAGGCATGGGAGTACTAAAGGATATTTTCTGATTGATGAATCAAAAAAAAAAAAAAAAAAAAAAAAAAAAAAAAAAAAAAAAAAAAAAAAAAAAAAAAACCAAAGATGTGAGGCTTGTGAGATATTATATCCTAACCTGCAAACGATAGATGCCTGCTTCTATTTCAGCCATCGCTGCATCACTAATGGAATCATTTACGTCTTTGTCATCACCTTCAATATCCTAAAAAACAAGGGGTCAGAGAGGTAAAACAGAACAGAAAATGAAATATCATACACAGAGAATCCAAATCAAAAGGAAACAGGTCACCTCAGATTCATATTCTTGACCCGTACTTTCTACGTCAATATCTCCATCAGATTGAAATCCCTCTGCGAGCTCTTCTTCTACTCGTGGGACAACATTCAAAGAAAAGGGAATATCTGGAGGCGTAGTTCCAGTGACATCCTCAACAATTACCCCTGGCTTTGCTATCTTATCATCATGATTGTTATCTAAAGGCTGTGACTGGACATATAGAGCATCTCCATCGATTGATTCCTTATATGATAGTCCCTTGTCATGAATCTTTTTGACCTTTTCATTACAATTCACAGGGTCTTCATGACACAAGGAATCCAATCTACTTGAAGCACTCCTGTCGGATTTCTGAATAGATATTTTGAAATTAGAGGAAATTATTAATTGCAAGTTTTAGTTCAGATCGGAAAAATCTTGCTATGGACAGCTATACTTACAGAGCTGGGGACTTCTGGTCCCTTGTCCCTCGATCCAAGAGATGCAGAAGGTAGATATTCAGGATCCCAATGGAGAATTCGTTGACCATTTATGCTCTCAGTCATAGTACAGTGCTGTTCCTTGGCGACCTTTTGGCTCTTAACAAAAAAATTAGGTGCATTAGTGTCTGATTGATGACTCTTAGGGTGCTCCCTCATAGCATCTGCATAATTTTCGGAAGTGTTAACTCGAGTAGCAGAAACCATCCTTCCATATGCTTGAGAATCTAGAGGATGATGATAAGCACTTGGTGGGAAGTTTAAATCCGGTAAGTTCCTATGCTCCATGGCATTATCATTCAGTGCAACTTCAACATTTCCTTCATACTGTTGTCTGTCTATATCAGAATAGTTAGCATTCCTGTTCATCCACTTCAGCACCTCTTGCTCTAAGTCAATATAACTCAGCTCTTCACTGCAATGATTCTCGAACTCAATCAATTGGTGTTTCTCATCCATTATATATGGTGCCAGCGCTGGCCTTTCTAAGGATGAATTTGACATTTTCAGTGAAGGTGATTTTCCCCTTCCATTCCCGAGGGACAGCAGAATAACTGCTTCTTCCAACCATTTTTCTGACACCTCACCATTTTCCTGCAACTGCGAGTCAGAAAATGCCCTTTCCATAATCGCAGGCCAGTCCGAATTCATAGAATTTTGAGGATGTTGTTGATAAGAAAGGAAATCTCCGCTCTGGCTACGATTATGAAGATGCATTTCAAGTTGTTTGCTAGTCTGATCAGTTTCCCCTGGATATTGTTGATAACAAGCTTGATTCACCGATGGAATCGGCCCATGAGGAAGATTATTATAATATGCAGTGTCAAATGGAAATTTGTCCACGGAAAAAGTACCGATGTTTTTATTACTGTCAGGGAAAGGTTGATCAACATAAAATAAGCTTTTAGAATTCTTATGATCTCTGTACTGAATGTTAACTGGACTCACAGGAGAAGATTGATTCTTATAATCTGAAGCAGTTCCTAGTTGGCTTGCAGAACTCTGTCCACTAGAGCTCTTCTGGGGACTGTGGTCCAGCATGCCATTAACAGCAACAACATACTGACAATCAGCATTACACTGTTGTGATGTCTTACCTTCAAAAGAATTTGGGCTGTCAGGTTCAACGGAAGAAACAAGAAATATACGCAGTCTTTGTGAGCCTCCATTTTTTTCAAGCCCTTGATATTCCTCTATCATGTGATGAAGATCTTCATCAGAAGAAACAGAAATAAGTGCATCAAGATCCTCACCAGGGAGCTGGTACTTGATCGTATGAGGTTGGTCACAAATTGCCAAAGTTTTCCTTGCAAGCTCCTCCCATGTAACATTTTTTCTGATGGATATGATCCTTGTTTCTCCACCAACATATCTAAGCTTCCCATCATTTGGCCTGGGCAATATCCTCCCCCCAAAGCTGCATAGAAATTTCATTTTTCCAGAGAAAGCACATTCTGAAACTCTAGTTCCAAAAGGCTGATAAGGCCAAGGGGTTTCCGGAACACAGTTAGGTGAACTGGTCAGACCTAAGGTTACTCGACCAGAATTATTTGTTTCATCAACATAGTTACTTGGTTTTAGTGCATTGGGAACACATTCCCAGTGGTATCTGCCTGCATTATCAGTATAAGCCCTATTTTCTAGTTCAGCGGCATGTCCTGTGGCTTCTATCCTGGAAACATGATCTGAAGCATCACAATCAGAATCCTTTCTCCTTACCCCATGAGTGCCAGCATGACTTTCAGAACCCATCGGGTTGTTCTGACTGTAATTGAATCCCATTTGCCCTGGCTGGTTATGATCCAGCACTCTTCTTCGAGCAAACTGGGGAGAAAATTCCTCACCAGTCTGTACAGAAATATTATGTACATTTCTATCTACAGGAATTCCGTCCCTAGTCACAACTTTCATTTTATCTCCAATGAACTGCTGGCCTGAGCTACCAGGCGTCTCATGTGCCATGGTCTATAAAAGGAAATTCACTTTAAATACAGCTGCATATGAACATTCACTAGCCTGTCGAGTCTTGTTTTCTCCATGCTCTTCCAAATTCCCACCGCACTCGAAATTGGACCAGATCATAGTACTCACAGCCCCTATGCACAAAATCAATAACATTCAACGCTTATTTTCTCAATAGCAACTGCTGTCATCTTAAATGGGGGAAAAATCTCAAAGTGCTATCAGCATCATTATGCAATACACAAATTCCCTTTCATCGCTACCAAAAAAACATTGTCATTAAGAATCTGTATACACCAGGTCTTCAATCAAATCGACTTGATTTTACAATTCCTGCTAAATCCGTTGAACACACACAACTGCGCTTCAAAAGAATAATAAAAATAACTGCAGTGCCACAATTCACTTTGATCTTTTACGCATAATCATCCATCAAACAGTTTATGGAAACTAAAAGTTCAACCTTAATTTTTTGAATCAATCAATGAAACAATGAAACAACGAACCAGGTTCAATCCATACAACAACCAAAGGATCAAGATATATCATCAACAATGCATTATTCAAATTGCAAAATAAAGGGCAAGGAACGAAAACAAAATTAAGAATTCCTTTATAGAAGATTGATTAGATGTGGCAAAGATATTAAACTATGAACATGAAATAGAGTAGAACATGTACTGAAATGGGTACCTTCTTGTTTGTTGAAAATTGCAGTTTTATGTGAACATGTAAAGAATTGAAGATTGTTCCATTGAAGAAGAGGAGAAAGCCAAAACAGGAAAATTGAGTATGGGATTAAGTTTTGTTAGAGTTTGGAGGATTTGATAGAGAAAGAGAGAGCGTTGCATGAGAGACGGAGTTTAAAAAGGGAGAGCTTAAAATAACGTGGACACAAATGTAAGGAGAGCGCGAACATAACTGTAAACTACAACCAACTTAAACTCTTTCACTTTATGACAGTTGGATCCGATACCTAGCCAATCCTGTCTATTGGGTCAGGCCGAGGGTATATAAAAATTAATCTAAAATTAATTTAATTTGATCCTTTTTATTGTCAGGTAAATGAGTTAAGTGAATGTATAATCCACTTAACTCGGTTAAAATTTGATTGATTTATTTATTTTATTAACGTGGTTAACTTCCGATTAAAATTTGATTTATTTATTTATTTATTTTATTAACGTGGTTAACTTATGACATGTACATTGCTCCAAGTTGACCCGAAGTTTATTCTTGTATTTAACTGCATAAATTTACTCGTATAAGTTTGTACATTAATCATGGTTAGAATTACAAAATAAAAATAAATAAAAAAATCTCGTTCGTTCGTGCATGCCTAAATTTGAAAAACCTTTAAAACGTTTCACTTTCCACATTTGTAATGGCTATCTCTCTCTCTCTCTCTCTCTCTCTCTCATCATTTCTCACTACTATTTACCTCTCTATTTTTCTGTGAAGAAAATCTAGAGATTATCGAACCACAAAAGGGAAAGCAGCGAAACCTCGCACAATGCCGACGTCTAGTTGAATTATAGTGGCTTCAACAAAGCAGGGAAAAGAGCTTGAGCTTTGTGAAATGATGCTTTTAGAAGCTAGCATCCATGACTGTTGAAACGGATGACCCTGTGAAATGATGCTTCTTGACGGTTTCTATTGTGCTGCCATTCAAATGGCTCCGACGGACAACACAACTGATAATGTTCAAGTTCCTTGCAAGCAGCCAACGATCAGTAGTAACACATGAAAGAGGTGAAATATCCAGAACCGATAATACCTTGATACCGGTAATGGCTCAGATTATGAAGAACAAATTCATCGTTCATCAATGCAGGAAACAATCTGTTTCCCCCGAGCAAGAACAAGGGTAAATTGCATCAATAATCTTTGGCCGTGTGTCTCCCAAAACTGAGAACTTGTAATGGCTTCTTCTGCTATAGATTTCGTGGCTGTATATGTATACTTGAGATTCTAGTAGCAGCAATTAACTGCCACCGTTTGGCATGAAACTTGTAAATTTAAAACCTTTACAAGCTAGTTCATTTGTTATCCACCCAGTTCATCAGCAATCGGCTTCAATCCATTGACCTTCCTTAGAACATCATCAACCAATGACCGGATAGCAAGATTCTGGAAGTCATAATGCAATAGTTTAAAAATGTACCCAACAAAAAATTAGAAAAAAACAAAGAAGAAACATGTTCATCAAGACAGCTACTACATTTTAAGATGAAAGTTAGAAACAGAAACATCATGATTTATACATATGCAATTTTTTAAAATTAAAGTGATGGTATGGAGTCGCTTTTTCTCATAGGAAGTTACGAATTTGCATCTCATTCATCAACGGAGAAAAAAGAACGCACTAAGTGTCTGTTTTGATTTGAATGTGTGGTGATTTTTTTTTTAAGATATAATTCTTTTAAAGTATAAATTACATTTTTAAAAGTTAAAAATAAAAAATCAAAGTTACCTTCAAACCAAACACTTTTTAAATCAGGCTACAGAACAGAGAAAGTGAATGATTTTATTTAGGAACGCATTCCTCTCAATTTCATGTCATCTCTTAAGCACTAGTCAACTAATTAAGGGGTGGATTTATTTTAAACACATCTAAATCTTATGCTTAGAAATTTAGTTTTTTGGTGATTGAATAATGAGTACATTTTTTATAAATAAAAAATGTGGTAGCTTGATGTAAAATCTTAACACTTGTAAAACAATTTTTTTTAGATGAATTTGGGAATTTTTAGATACTTATATTAGTATCTTTGCAGATACAAAAATATTATAAATATGCAAAGAACATTAAATTTTAAAAATAAGGTTTTTTTATTTTTATTCTGGTAGAAAAATAAAAAAGAATGAAAACCATCCACCTTTTACTAAATCTTGTCAGAAAAAAGAGTCATTCCACCTTAATAATATTAATAAAAAGTAAATATTCCTAAAGTTAGGGATTTTCTTTACTATTTAAATCAATTCTTATCTAGTGACTTGAATCAAATGATCGCTGGAGAAGAAATAACCATTTAAATAATCTTTTCCACTTAATAGAAGAAAGAGTCTCCCCCTCACATATTCGTCAATGAATATGATAGCAATTCAGTAAAAAACAAAAAGCAAAATTATTAGTGTCATTCTTTCAATAAAATGTCATCCTTCAAGAAAACAGTGGTTCGCCATGCTTGTTTTTGTCTGTAATAAAAATTGTTTTTAAAAGTGTTTTTTATTTTAAAAAATTTATTTTTAATATTAACACATTAAAATAATTAAAAAATTAAAAAAATAATTAAAAATTTTAAAAATAATTTTTTTAAAAAATACAATTAAATCACAATATCAATAACATCATCGTATTGTCATGTAATGATAAAAAAGGACTCCAATCAATTTTTATATGTATAAATAAGTTGTTTGGAATCAATTATTTACTATAATTAAATTCAATTATAATATTTGATTTGAATTTAAATAATAAGTAAATTAAATTCACATATTTGGAAAATATAAAATTTATTTTATTTTTTTCTCTATATTACCTTAATTATTTTCATCTTATTTCTTCAAAAATCTTAAAAAAAGTTAGATAAATATTTTGAGAAAATTAATTTTAATATTAAATTTATTCTTATTAGAATGGTAAATCAAAAGGCAACCTCTCCCTGATTTATTTTTGTAATATTTTTAAAAATTAAATTTATTTTAGAGATTGTTTTTAAATTTCTAAATTGAATTTAATTTAGAAAATATATCAAGTAAATCATATTGCTAAAAAAATGATTAATTCAAATATTAGTATGTTTATTGATTTAACTTAAAACCCAACAGGCATCATGTCTCGAGTTGCAGATTCCTGAGGTTACTCCTTCACTGTAAGCGGGGTCTGACAATTATAGTTGAGATTGAAAAACAGAAAAGATTTCTCCGAAGAAAAAAGAAAAGGGAAAAAGCAGGGGCAGGCTGGAGTGTAAAGAGTAAAATGGTAAAGTGTTACTATGAGCACCTACCTAGGTAGGTGGCAAAAGAGATCCTACGTGGCAGAGTGTTTTGAAAAAGAGAGAGAGAGAGAGAGAG